CTTCATGATGCAGGTGGCCCTCTTCCTGCATCTAGAGGTGTCTGTGATGGTGGGGAGACTGACTTCAACAGCAGCCTTCACCACTCTCTGCAAAGCTTTTCTTTCTGCAGCTGTGCAGCCTCCATGCCACACGTTGATGCTGGAGCACAGGATGCTCTCCACTGCACATCTGTAGAAGGAGGTGAGGACTGAGCTTCCCAGACCAGCTCACCTCTGCCACCTGAGGAAGTAGAGAAAGTAGAGTATTTTATTCTTATTTATCTTATTTATTTACTTATTTACTATTACATTATTTATATACTTATCCAATATTTTATTCTTCCCCAAATGGGTTTTATAGAAGTACAATATGCAATAATTGGGGTATCATTTCTATGAAAAGGTTTGAGTTGTATTAGATTAAACAAATTGTGTCCTTTGATGGCCCCTGTCTTAGCGGGATCCCCCAAATTACTCCTTCTTAATTACACAGACCTCTGTTTACTGTATGCAGGATATGAGATATATACAGTAGATACTGTGTGACTTTCCCACAGTCTGAAAGCAAACAGAAAATCATGACAAACTTTTCTTTTTCATTTGTCATAAATGAAAAACATCCTGTTTTTACAAACAACCATTCCTAGAACACACATGGCTTTGGGCTTTTAGGTTTCTAGTTATGTGTGAAAGTTTTCTAAATTATAGGTTTTCTAAGCAGGCAAATTAACAGTGAGACTGTTATTGATAGCATTTACTGCATTATTAAATTTCAAATTTGAAGTGTGCTCTCAGAAACTCACAGTAATTCCCTCTGTGCTCCACCCTGGCCTGAAGCCCACCGGCTCTGACATGAAACCAGAAGAGGAAACTGACAGGATTAGATATTTTTTTTAAAAGGACTGTGAAGATTTTTTGCAATTCCTAATATTTATGAGGAGTTTAAAAGTAAAAAGATAAACAGCAACAGTACTACTGGATAATTACTGTACAATGATAAAGAATAAAATATTCTTAAACCTTTTTTTATTTCCATTTTTTTTCCCCCCAGACTTAAAGGAGAATAAAAAAAGAAATCCTTTAAAGGTAGCATAGTTTGTTGCAATCAGTGTTAACAACAGCTAATAAGTTGCATGTTAGAGAAATGAGAAGCTGTACTTTGTAATAACAGGAAGTATCTCGTGTTATAAATGTTGGATAAATGTTCCTTTAAGAAAAATTTTAAACAAAAACTTCAATATCTCTGGATATTTCTTGTATTATGAAAACATTCACGAAGGCGCTTGAATAAAAAAATAAAGAAGAACTCGTTGTCGGCAGGATTCGAACCTGCGCGGGGAGACCCCAATGGATTTCTAGTCCATCGCCTTAACCACTCGGCCACGACAACCATACGAACCCTTTCAATAATTCTTTATATAAATTAACACATAAAATGTGCTGTGGCTGATATTTTCCGTTTTTTCAGGGTTTATTCCTGACATTTAATTCTTCCTCTTACACTCCAGGTCGTATGATGCAGAACAAACCCGAACAAACCCGGTGTTGTGGGAGTTTAGAGGTCCGACAGCGCCATCTGGTGGCGCATACCTGTTGCTGACACTACCTCCACATTCTGTTAATGAAATGTACACTACATCCTTTCAAGATCCCCTAAAAATGGTAAAAGATTTTAGGGGTTCCGGATAAATGTTGCGAGAATAAATGAAAGTTTCTTGCAAACATTTAGCTCACCATGGCAACATTTTTAGTCTTCTCTTTATGATGTCTTCAGAGTAGTTAATTTTTTGGTTAAACTTGTTCGATTTTTTTTAAATGGTTTTTTAGCATTAGATCTTTTATTTGTGGTTATTGTAAATGATAAATAGTAAAAAAAATATGTATATAATTTCTGGATATAAAAATATGAATCTATATGGGCCAGGGGCGATTCTAGAATCTGACCTTTAGGGGTGCTTAGCCCCCGGTGCTGACAATGGCTCTGAATTTTTTTAATAAAGTAGATGCCATTTCCTGCATTCTGGTGTATTTTAACAGGTTGCTAAACATCTATGTTTACCTACATAAGTAAACACTTAATTCAATAACTATTTTAGAGAACTCAGCACAACAAGAAGTAGCACAAAGCTAGCTGCATATGCAGATGTGCTAGCTAAGATGCTACAGACGTAGATGCTCTGCTTTAAATTACACAACCTAATAAACGCTTTGTACAAAATCAGTTTAGTGTCAGCTGATCATAACAAATAAAGACTAAACTTAAGCGACCAGAAGTTGAAACATACAGAACACACAAAACAAAGCACAACTAGCTTCAAGCACCAACCTCTAATTTAACCATTAAGCATACTGTACAATGTAATTATGACAGAAAATGGAGGATTAACTTGCAGTTACATTCGTACAGATGAACATGTGGTACTTCCTGTTTATCACTATTGTATTCAGCTGCTCATGAGGTCAGCCGCAGAGCTTTATCATATTTTACATTTTTCCAGACTCAGTTTAGGTTTTGGAACTGGAATAAACTGTATTCACCCTCTAAAGCAGGGCTGTTCAACTAAACTGATCAGGGGGGCCACAGTTACTGAAAGTGAGCAGCTCAGGGGCCGGATATCCAGCAATTGAAGTCATTACGTAAATAAACCAAGTATTACAATGATCTGTTACCTTATATATTTGTTTATTTTGTTGCATTGAGTCATAAATGCACTAAACAGAACCCAGAACTGCCTAAAAAATAATAATAATAAAATTACTTTAATTTTCGGGGATGCTGAGTTCAAATTTAGGGGTACTTGATCAGCCCCTAAAAGAGGCTAAAATCACCACTGAAATGGGCATTGATCTCATTTAGTGGCTTCTATATCTCTCTATGGAGTAAAGAAGGGGTTACAGTTCAGAAAATCATGATATTTTCTTCTCCATTTTATAGCTTTAAATTTTTTATTAAACATTTAGACATTTTTGGACGAGCAGCATGAGAATTATGAGCTTTTAACCTTTGCAGGTGAACTTACTGGTTCAAAGCAGTAGTATTTAATGTCCCTCAGCTCCCTGGTTTGTGCGGTTAGTCTTGATTTCCGTGCACACCAGTTCAGTAAACACCACACCTGCTTTGAATACAACCATTTTCTCCCTCAGTATGTATTCAGCCATATATCTTTTAGGATTAGGACGTCTCCCTTTAGAAGTTTTCCGCAAACGTCCCCGGCCCCGGGAAGACCCAGAAGTCGATTGAGGGATTGTGCATCTTCTCTGGCCTGGGAACGCCTCCAGGTCCCCCAGAGTGAACTGGAAAGTGTTGCTGGGAAGAGGGATGGGTTTCTCTCCTGGACCTGTTGCCTCCCCGACTCAATAAGCTGTAGAAGATGAATAGATATTTGTTTTGTTCATTGCCAGCTGATTGTTTTAGTCCCCTCTTGGATGTCTCGTTGTGTCTGTGTTCCTTCACTTCACCGCCTGTTTCTTCTTGCTTGAACTTACATTGTTACCCAGTTAGCAAAATGAACAAGTAGTCATTTGTTTGCACAATTCGATCATCACAATTCAAGGCACACGAGACATTGCTAAAAACAAACATTTTAGCAATTAAAATGTGTTTATTATATCAAAAGAAGTATTTCTTATCACCCTGTAAGCACCACAGTTATGCATGGTGGTGGCAGCATCATGCTTTTTGGCGGAGCTCAACACATTTGCTGAAACAGGACTGTATTGTTTATTTATCACACATGGTGATAAATATAAAGACGTTAAGGAAAACCAAGTTTTCTGAGAACCATCATTTATTAGACGTAAGCCTGCACTTCATCAAAGGAAACTGGACTTTAGTTAAAATAATGCTCTAGTTGTCTGTGATCAATCTTACCAAGAGCATTTAAATAGTTCAAGGTGAAACTTTGTCTTGGAGTGGTTTACAGTCAATGTCCTGACCTCATTTTGCTTAAAAAATACCAGTGACTTATTGAGACGTGCCTATTAATGTTGTATTTACTGCAAAAAAAAAAAAAAAAAGTTTCAAGGTGTTGACTTTGGAGGTGAACGTGTGCGCAGACTTTAATATTTCATCTTTTTTTAGCCTCTTGTTTTAATTTAGTTTTACCTTCAAAGCAGTAGGACGTGTTGATCCAATAAAAAAACTTTACAAAACTTTAAAGGCAAGGTTTCAAAGCTGCAATGTTATGAAACGATAAGGAGAGCGAGCGATATTCTCTAAAATATATTAAATCTGTGTCATATTACGCGCTTTAAAGTACTTATTACTGCAGAGGTGAAAAATCATTGATTTCCAAAGCTGGATTCTTGAGTATGTGTATATTAAAATACAAATTAGATACAAATATGAGATAAAAGTTGTTATTTTTACAAACAATAATGCCGTTATTTACATATCACTGAACAGAGACCACGTGTTACATCTCGTGATATAAATTATTTATTTACATTTACAGAAAAAAATGACCCCATCAAGACAATGTCGTAATAACTATTGGAAATAGAACTCAAGAAACAGTAGCTGACGTGCTCGTCACAACCGAACAGAGAGCTCTATAGTAACATTGTGCCCTCTGTCAAAGGTCTCCTATAACACAAGGTGCAAGGCATCACGTGTAGCCCCCGAAACCCCCCCCCCACATCCCTCCCCCCTCCCAGACTGAACACACACTGCAGTTTAAAGCCCGTTACCCTGCTTTGCACTACCCCGGTTTGCTTGGACCCCTCGTCTACGAAGAACAGAGGCCGGCTAGTCCGCCTCCACCGAAACGCACACATCTAATAGACACACACTCACATTCAGTGTCCTAAGCACCCTCTCCCCCTCCTCCCTTCAAAGTCTTTCGGAGTAAAAACCTCAGAAAAAAAAGGTGCAAGGAAACTCGTCCGGCAGCTGGAAGGTCAAAGGTCAGCAGAGGCCACGACTCGTGACCGCATCGTCCCCAACGTGCAAGGCTCACCGCTTGCCGCCGTGCCAGCTCAGTCTTTGCAACGCCGACGGCCTCCGCGGGCGTTCTTACACATTTCACGGTGGGAGAGAGGGAGAAGAGTGGAGGAAGGCAGATGCTAACGGTCACGGTTGGCCTACGGGGGAGGGGGAACATCTAACGCCAGAGCGCTCCGTAGCGTGAGGAGGAGGCGACTCTTTTCCGGCGTGTCTGGGCTCAGATGAGTCGAGTGGAGGCGCGCATGGTGTTCTCCGAACTGAAGTGGACATTGTTCTGCTTCTGCCGGTTGATCCTGTTGGTCCGAGGGCACTTCCTGTACAGAGATCAGATGATATAGAGACAGTTAAAACCAAACTAAAACAGGAAACACAGACTCCAACTGGAAGGTCTGGTGTGATTCTCAAGCTTCAAAGCACAAGTTGGTGTTTAGAATCATTCACGGCGTTTTCTTCTTCAGTTTGAAACAACAGCTTTCGTTTTGACTTTGGAGGCCAAACCAAAGATAAAAAAACATTAAATGCAACATTCAGGGCTGCGCATGGATCCGTTCTTCTGACAGAACGGCACGAAAAGATGTGCAAGTCCATAAATCCATTTACACAACAAACGCATTTTATTAAATTAAGTTGCTCCAATCACGTCTTTCAACTGTAATGAGAAAAAAGATAAAAAGCTGACCAAAGTGCTGCACAGTAAAGCAAAACAAGAGGATTTAAACATATTGTATAATACAGGGGTTCTCAAACTTTATGGGTTCAGGGACCCCCTCATAACCCTCATGTTTATTCAATAATTGTCCTCAATTTGTCTCTTTGATGCAATGGAAACATTTGTAACATAAATACTTTAAGACCTGCTCTTTAATACTGTTAATACAATTTTTATACTTTTAAACATGGGGTGTTTTTCATTCAAGACACACTTAATTAACATTTTTAATTTCAACTTCCAAAAATTGCAGTTTTGAGAAAATTAACAGCATCAAAAACCACTTTTAAACTGAACATAAATGTGTCGCCACTTCTTCAAATTATTACAGAAAACCAGAGGTGGAAAGAGTCCTGAACATTTGTACTCAAGTACAAGTACTGTTACACTGCTTAAATTGTACTCAATTACGAGTAAAAGTACTGGTGTTTTAAAAGCACTTAAGTAACAGTACAAAGTACTCTTCTCTAAAACTACTCTTAAACAACTGATGTTTTATTGTGTTGTCAGTAGAAGACATTTAATTTGATTTACTACATTCAAAGAACATTTCTCAGATGAACAATAAACGTATAGAAAAATGACACTAAGGCCATTTCTTTTGTAAACAACTGTAGATAAAGCAGGAATTCTGTTTATTAAAAGACAAAAAATGTTTTTGAACCGGCGTGGAACAGTTGAAACTTTTCCAAAAACACTGCGAACAACAGGTAATTATCTTAAACTCGGACATTTCTGTCACCCTTCACTTTCTGAACCTTTTGCTCAGTGGCAGCAGGAGCTGGTTTTCTAAGTTAACAGAGTCTGTCCGCCTTCGTTTGCTTACATCATAGGTGACCGGCGCTTTGAATATTAATTCAAACCGCGGCCGTACTCGGTCGCGACTTCTGATTTTAAAAGTAGCGAAGTAGATTACATGCTCGAAAAAGTATGAGTAAAATTACACATTTGAAAGAAATACTCATAAAAGTACAAGTAGCCAAAAAAAGCTACTTAATTACAGTAACGTGAGTGTAATTCGTTCACCCATGCAGTAAACTCTTTACATAAAACTGAACAGAATCATTACAGCAGTAGTCATACCAGGTAACGGGGCTTAATTAGTAAAAAGATCTATGCTGGAACGCAAATAGCAGGCCTCCCCCAGAAAATATGGAATAAAGTAGATGTGATTTGCTGAATTTTGTCATATTTTAATGCGTTATTAAATATCTACGTGCTTGTAAAAATATATGTTTTTCGGGACCCCTCAAGCATCGTCTCGCTTTTTTGAGAAACACTGAAAATATATGTACTGTTCCTTTAAGACAGGCCTTTACCATCCCCCTCTCATGATAGTTTTTTTTTTTAAGACTTTGTGTGATGTGAACGATTATCAGCTACTACCAAAATAAGTTTTAGCGCAATATTGCAGACTAATTTGTGTCTGGTGATGTTGATGTTAGCCATCTTGAATCAGCTTGACTCCAAAAGTTAATCAGTTGTAGATCCAGTGATTACTTTAAACCTTTAATTAAAATCTGCAGTGGCTCATGAGATATTTTGCTAACAGACTAACAAACGCACACTGGTGGTTAAAGGATGGACCTCCTTTCATGATGGCAAACAACAAAAACAGAGAATTATTATAATAAGATAGATTAAAACATAATGATTCTAACTCTATTTTAGTGGAAAGCGAAAAGACAAACGTGAGTTTTTGTTTGAACAGATGTAAAAGCGGAGCGATGTGTTGGCAGCAAGTTTGAAAAATTCCAGTTTGAAAAACGCTGGAAATGATTATGTTTTAATCTTTAAACATATAAAATATGCTGTCTGGATGACTCTTGGTGTTTAGATGTTTAGTTAAACGCAAAAGATGTTTTTTTTTTATAGACTTGATCAAACTTTGACTTAAATAGAATCAAAATCTTTCAGGTTCATCCAAAGATTATTATAAATGTAACTGTATTCTTGCTTCATGCATGAGAGTAGTGGAAGAACACTCACGAAACAGACACTGGAAGCCATAAACATGATTTATTAAGACGTGGACACAGCTGAGTTAGTTTCCCATAGAGTGTTTGCTCAAAGGCATGGTTTAAAAATGTTGCTCTCATTCATTACGAGCACACTTGTCAACACTTGCTCCTGTGACGCCACACGGAGCGCGTGAAAGTCATCAGCTCTGCGTCAGAGCTTCCATTCATCCCTAAAACTTCTATTTTTATCCTTCAAAGGGATTCACAGAGGACTTAACTTCCTAAAATCAGGGTTACATAAGAAAATGGAATAAAATAAGTGAATCTAGTCATTTTTACTTTCGAGTTTTGTCAATTTTAATTTTATTGTTCTTCTTTTTATGTTCTAAATTGTGATTTAGCACCTAAGAGTAAAGTTCAGTGTTTTTTTGTGTGTGTGTTTTTCCCAAGACATCCTTGTAAACGAGATGAATAATTTCAGTAGATTTCTTTCCTGGTAAAATAAAGGTTTAATAATAATAATTTTGAAATAAAGTAACACTAATTATGTTTTTAAGACACATCATTATTCCAAAGCTTTCGATCCAGTGTGAGTTGATTTAAACATCACTGCGTTTTGATTATTTTAGTCATTTAGTTTCTTATCTTTACCTCTGTGGATGAATGTATGGACCTGAGCATTTTAGGAATATTTTTTCAGTCTTTCCTTAGATGCATTAATCTGTCCTCCAGCTCTAATGTTAAAAATCTTGGTGTTATTTTCGATCAGGACATGTTTTTTATCCCCCACATTAAAAATGTTACTAGAACCTCCTTCTTCCACCTGCGTAATATCACTAAAATTAGAAACATCTCTAAAAATGATGCAGAAAAACTGTTTTGTGCATTTGTCACATCTAGACTGGACTATTGCAATGGTTTGTTATCTGGGTGTACAAAAACTTCTTTAAAACGTCTTCAGTTGATCGAAAATGCTGCTGCCAGAGTCTTAACTGGAGTTAGTGGGCGAGATCATATCTCTCCAGTTTTAGCTTCTCTCCATTGGCTCCCTGTCAAATCCAGAATTGAATTCAAAATTTTACTTCTAACCTACAAAGCCCTCAACAACCTAGCTCCATCTTATCTTACAGATCTTATTGTTCCATATTTTCCAAACAGAGCACTTCGCTCTCAGACTGCAGGTTTACTTGTGGTTCCTAGAGTTTCCAAAAGCAGAATGGGAGGAAGAGCTTTCAATTATCAGGCTCCTCTCTTGTGACTCGACACATCAGTCCACATAAGATCACACTTAGCCACGCCCCCTAATACACGGATAGGTTGAGCTCTCCTTCTGTGAAGGTGGAGTCTTAGGGCCCTATAAATTAGTAATGACACGAGACATCGAGGCTCTTCCGGGTCTGTGAACGTGTCACAGACTGTAGAGTCCAGCGCTGTAAACTGTAATCTTTTCCTGCCTTTTTTAGTATAATTGATAAAACTTAATTGACGTTTCCTTGATTTATTGATTAGTATAGTTGCCACTTCTGAGGGAGGTAGGAGCCGGGGTAAAGACGTGGGCTGGAGGGGGGTTCCGGATCCGGTGGTCCACAGCCAGCTCCTGCCTTTAACAGAACTAACTTCCAGTTTCTGTCCGTGAGGTTGACACATTGTCCAGTTTTAAAACTAGGCTTAAGACTTTCTTTTTTATCAATCCTATAGTTAAGCTTGGCTTGGGTTTCCTGAGCTGTCCCTTAGTTATGCTGCTATAGACTTAGACTGCTGGAGGACAAACTGACTACACTTTCCCCTCTGCTACTGTCTTTACTTACTCTGCTCAACCTGTTTTGTATTTGTAATTATTTTTTCTATCCTTAACATGTTTTTTTCAGGTACACCTGGACCTACAGTACATCTGGGCCTGCCATTATGTCTATGTTTGTCTCTCCTTTCTGTCCTCTCAAACCAGCCGGTCAAAGCAGATGGCCGCTTGTCCTGATTCTGGTTCTGCTGGAGGTTTCTTCCTTATAAAAGGGAGTTTTTCCTTTCCACTGTTGCCACTGTGTTTGCTCAGGATGGGAGACTGCGATGAAGTGAAGATTCAACATGTCTGCTGGATTCCTTAGATACAGAACTTTACTAATAAGCTTTTCTATGTATGTGAATGTTCATGTTCAGTGCTCTGAGACAACTTTGTTGTGATTTGGCGCTATATAAATAAAAGGAATTGAATTGAATCCTTTGCTTGTTGTTTTCTTGTACAGCATTGCATTGGCCTTGTTGCTGTTTTTAAGTGCTTTATAGATAAAGTGGTATGTATGGTAATAAATATGTAAAAAAAAAAAATACACAGTGAGGGGAAAAATGCAATAACAAAGGAAAAAAAATGCAAGAAAAAATGTCAATAAATAAAAATAATGGAACCATTTATGTAGTTTATATTTATTCTCTATGTTGGCAGTTTCAGCCCTCTGTAGTAGCCATCAGAGATTTGTAAAGTCAAAAAAAGTTGTTTTATATATATATAGTTTTGTTGTTTTCAGAGGACACATGAACTGAATAATACGGTAACAACGTGACATTTGACAGAAAAAGTTCTTTCGAGCGGACCTTTTCCTGGATGTGACAGAATATCATACACAAGAGGCAAAGCACAGCGATGACCTTTTCTGCTCCCACCTGTTTGTCCTTTAACTAAATGGGGAAATAAGCAGAAATCCTATAAAAGCCTGGCAACATTCATAAAATGCAATACAAGCTCTGCATAGATGGAGCCTGACAATAATCCCCTGGTGTGTTCACACTCAATAAGCTGCGTGCCACGTGTCCAGAGCTGAACTTCTACAAGGCTGGGTGTGTTTAAAAAAAAAAGAAAAATCTGTTAAATGGGTATCGCTGAGCTGCAGGAAACAATAATGCCACCGGAGCGGCTCTCCATGTTATAAATTCTCCTTCTGCTTCTTTATCTTCTCCCTTTACCTTCCCACCCTGCTCTTTTAACAATTGCTCGCTCCTTCTCTCTGTCCCTCTTCCTCCTCTTCCTTTTGCCCTCCTTTGCCCAGAGGAGCAGTTTTGTCTTGGCCAAAACTCTAAAAGTCTTTTATTAAATGTCATAAATTGCTAAGGTCAGCCGGAGGCAAACAAGCTGCAGGCTATCCCATATATATGTGTGTGTGTGTCTTGTGAGTAGTATATGTGCACAAGTTCTTTTGTCCCACTATTATTACATAATGCTTGTTAAAACAAAACTGCCACAACCATCACAGATGTGTGCTGGCACACCAAGCACATTTTCAGATGTGTGCACCCTGAGGGAACGTGACAGTACTTTCTCCCTGGGGTGAGGTGCTAGATAACCTTTCTGCTGTTTTCTCCATACTCAGGAGCTTTTTAATTTAAAAAATGGTAAATATTTCACGGAGGTTTATGACTTCGCTGTGTTTGTACGCACGGTTCAGGAATCACTTGTAATGTGGGGACCTAAATCTGTCCACGCAGCTCTGAGAAACAAGAGTACCGGCACATTGTACACCCATCAGCAAAGTATTACTGTACTTTTCGCTGTATAAGTCACAGTTTTTTGCAAAAAAATATCATGCCTGCGACTTATACAGAGAAGTGACTAATTTATGTTTTTTTTTCCATTTTATAAAAAGTTTTGGCTGAAATCTGACGATTTCATTCATTCTGACATGGAAAATATTGAAAACTACAATTTTCAGCCACTAGAAGGCCCTATAGTTGTATGGCAAGCCAAGTGTCTCATTAATAGGTAAAAGTGGCTATTAATGAGCCATTTGGCTTGCCATACCAAGCCACCTTTGTCTTGCTCCAGAACTCCTGGAGCAAACGCCAAATCATCTGCATTTTGCCGCGCCGCCCAGACGAAATGCAGCTGATTTGACCAATAAAGTGCATTTATTAAGGAAAAGTTAGACTGAGACACATCTTTACTATAATTTCGAGCAAACAAATAATTGTATTTAAGTTTTAATCTTGTTAAATTCTTGTTAAAGTCCTCCTGTGCATGCTCCCGCAGCCGCCATTTGGCAGCCAATCAATTTTTGGCACAACACCAGCCCATGTTTCCGGGTTGTCAGCGGTGACGCATAATAGATGCGATTATACGGCAAAGCAACGTGCACGGCGGCAAGTACGGTATATAACAATCTATAGCAATGGCCCGGACAAGTACACCTTGTATAACATTTGACCTTGATTTGTGACCTTGACCTTGGAGCTGGGGTGATGACGTATACAGTAGTCCCTCGTTGCTTAGTGGTTCGACTTTCGCAGACTCGCTCTTTTGCGTTTTTTCAACGATTGTCAACTTAGCCTTAAAATATATAAAAATACTAAAATAAATATAGCGTTCCTGTTTCGTGGTTTTCACCTATCGTGGGGGTGTGTGGAACGTAACTCCCGCGATAACTGAGGGATTATTGTACGCAACTCTCCGTCTAGTGATGATGATTTGCGTTTGACGATTTGTTAAATTATCTTGAGTGGATCAGAAGTAATGGACGGGACAAGTCAAAGTTGACGTACGTACGTACAGACATATAAACTGAGACTATACCACAATACATCCGCCTCTGAAGGGCATATGATGAAAGACAGCAGTAGAAGTGCCAAACCAGAATCTCTTCAACCTATTAAAGATGTAATAACGTCAACAGTTTGAGAATAAGGCTGCTACCCAGTGGGTGCTTATAGAGTTTCCAAGCTCTGAAGCTTTAACTACTGCACTCCAGATATTTTTAACGCACAGTGGCTTCATATAATGTCTTCTGAGATCTCCCAGACAACTGTGTGTGTTTGTGTGTTCTTTAGTGCATGACTCACCTGGTAATGCAGAGCACCACCACACAGATGATGACCACCTGCAGGGCTCCGATGATAGAGGCAATGAGGACGTAGTGCAGTTTTCCAGAGCCTGGCACCACATACAGCACGTTGTACTCTTTGATGTCACATCGAGGGCCTCTGAAACCTGAGTGACAGCTGAGATCATACACGCAGATGGGAAGACAAACAGTAAGAAAAAGTGAGTCATTTCTTAGCGCTAAGTGAGAACGTTTCAATAAATATATTGTGGTGACTGTTTATTGTCTTTGCTGTGACTGCAGTAATAAAAAGGTCTAATGGAGAATGACGAGGGTCTGAGAATGAGTGGTTTGATGTGCGTAATCTTCTCTTTGTTCTTTAAACCCTGATAGGGGAGTTATGGAGCATGTTAATGTTTGCTGCTACAGAATCGTCTCAGAGCTCTTGAAAATCAGACACCACATGAAAACTACAACTGTCATCGGTGAGATCTGTTGGTGGGCGATATCTCCCCAAGTTTCTAACATCAGAAGGTTTGGTATTAGACGTATTAGACAAACTAAAAGGGGCTTATAAAAGAATATAACCTGAGATAGCGCAGAGTGATGGATCCTGTCGAGTGGAGGGAGCACCAACAGGCGTAATCGCAACGCCACGGGGTAGCCAATGGTGGCTTTGACTACCAGAGCTTATTCTTTAGCCACCCCAATGGCTACCCTAGTTATATGATGAAACTATACTTTTAAGCAATGTAAAAACTATGATAATGGTGGACAGTTTACATTCATACAGTATATGGTGGCAGCTATCTTGACTTTTGTCGTGGCACCTGAATTTTCAATGATTTTCTTATACCTAGATGCAGCCACACCCCCAAATGGAAGTCGGCGTGTTGCTTACTTTTTAAGTTATCCAGCTCACATGGTTACAATAGGAACACATACAGTATGGTGGCAGTCATCTTAGATTTTGGAAACTAGAAAGCATAATTTCCTCAAATGACAAGGTTTTCTTATATACATTACATATGGTGGTGGGTGGCTATCATGGATTTTAACTTGGCAACCCAATGTTTGATAGTGACCTTTCTTACACCTAGACGCAACCACATACCAAAATGGAAGTCAGCACGGGGCTTAATTTTCAAGCTATCCAGCTAACAAGGTGGATGGACATCTATGACCGCAGCATTCTTGGATTTTGCTGTTGTAACCCAGATATCGAAAGGAAACTTTCTCATGCCTCGATGTAGCCACACACCAAAATGGAAGTCACTATCTTACTTATTTGTCAAGTTACCATGTTCATAAATGCATGGGCGAATGGACAGAGGGAGGGTATTCCCAACTCCCCCTCTTCGCTCCATGACGGGGCACAAAAAATAAGCCTTTATGGTGATTCAGGAACAGTTTTCTGAAGGAAAGCCAACGCACCCTTTGCTATAAACTTTTTATCGTGCATGAAAAATTATGTAAATTACTGTGACATAAAAAAAATAATCTAAAGGCATAATATGTCTTCATTAATCTTTGGCAGTTCAATCAGAAATAAATCAAACGTATCTAGATGCGTCGGTACTGTTGCTTCATCTTGACATATGCTTTGGCTCACATAGAGTTTATGTAGTATATGGACACCCCCCCCCCCCCCCTCCCCCCACCACACATAAGACGCATACAAACCCACAGACTAATAGAGGTGATCTTTGTTGTCAGAGATGAGCTAAAATAGTCCTCCTTTTAATCTCTCCATCTCTCCACCTTTTCTTCTTCACCTGCTTTTCCTGTCTCTAGGAAGGTTGTTGCATCCACCCCCCCCACCACCCCAGACACACATAATCTCCCTTCTCTATACCCTCGCCCTGACAGCATGCAAGATGAACAGTGTAACCTTGTTCTGTTTAGAAGATGTACTTTATTTCCACACAGATGTACACAACCCCTTCCCTACCCTCGCACACAGAGACATGCATCACTCCCACCCAGACTGCTCTCCCTCCTTCTCATTAGGAAAGCTCCTGCTGTTTACCACCATCAGGGGGCAGCAGAGACCCTCCACTCTCCCATCTGATAACTGCTGCTCTGTATGCAATAAGAATGTCTGGCTGGGCGAGCTGGGACCATCCAGGTTAAGAGAGAACTGAGGAAGACAGAGGGAGTGGGAGACATCAGGATCCCCCGGCTGCAGACTGGAGTGACACAAAGGTGTGAGCGTAGGCGTTGTGTGCTTGTGGGTGGGGTAACACAAGGTCTCATTGTGTCTACATTTGATCACACTTACACAGCCTGTGCTCAAGTGGATTCTGTGAACCGAAGTAAAAACATATGCATGTGGTCTGGATCCACAGATCCGGACTTCCTGTCATGCCTGGTATCAATATTTTGTAAGTAAATACTTTGATTATAAGGAACTAAGAAGTGGTAATGGGCAGTGTTACTTAAATGTTGGAAATCTAGTCGTTAAGGGTAAATTCAAAGAAATACTTTGACTGTCACGATTGTCTATTTTTGTTTGTTTGTTTGTTTTTACAACAGCCCCTGGTAAGTGACTCACAAAGTTCCAGTTGAGGTACCTTTTTTGGGTCCACCCTGAACCAAATATTTGAAAGAAAAGAATAATTACAGACAAATTTGAAGAGTATTTTTGCTTAAAATGCTCATCCCATATGCAAAGATCATAGATCTGATAATTTCCAAATGGACATTGGAAAGCTGGGTCAACATTCTGGATTTTTTTAATGACATGGCAGGAAACAGTCCAGCTTGTGAAGGATGTATGATCAGTGATGGATTTTTTAAATTTAATTTCTTTTGAAGGATATATACGGATATGTATTGATGGTAAATGGTAAATGGACTGTATTTATATATTGCCTTTCTATCTTATCAAGATACTCAAAGCACTTTACAACTAGAGCTGTCATTTCTAACTCGAACCCAGAGCCCGGTCCCGACTGGCCCGGATTTTGACCAGGCCAGTCCATAATAATGGTGCCTAATGTGCAGGCTGGGTTGGTGTCGGGCTTTTGATTGCGTCAGTGGACACAGGCAGATGACGATCCAATTATATGGCAACATGGTTTGCCATACAGTCACCTGCCACACACGGCAATTTCACCGCGTGCTGACCGGCCTTGAAAGAGGTTAAAAGTTCAATTTAGCTTCAGATGGACTACCGCCAGCTATCCATCGCCCAAATGGGCGTTCATTCAGCTAGTGCACTCAGCGGACGCGCACGACTAATGGCCCTAACAGGTGAGATCAAAAAATATCCGACATGTCAGAGCAGAGTCCAATGCAGGCAGAAGCAGGGGAAGCATTTAATGCGCTTTGACCGCCATGAAATGACAAACACCCCCTCAGCTCCGATCTTCTGCCCCCTTCATTCAGCCGCACACGTCCGCAGACCAGCAGTTAAAGCTTAATTAAAAATGTCAGGGTTTTTTCAGGTTCGGACCTATAATTATTGTTAATTCGTCGGATCAGGTTGGGTTCGGAAATGATAGCTACGAGCTGGGACCAGGTTGGGCGGGTCAGATTTTTTGGATCCGAATGCAACTCTATTTACACTAAAATCTGTGTCCTCATTTACCCATTCATACAGGACCCTTCTGTTTCTATACAAAGAATAATCAGTGCTTTATCACATTCATACACTGATGGGACACACCTCGTAGGCAATGAGGGGTTCAGTGTCTTGCCCAGCGACACTTCGGCATTTGACTGCTGGTGGAATCAAACTCCCAGCTCTTACATTGGAGGATGACAACTCTAACCACTCAGCCGCAGCCACCTTGACAAAACATCTAAATTAGCAATATATTCCAGTGACACGAGAACTGATGTGCGTTAATGTGATTAATTGTCTTTCAAGTGCCATGAATCAAGAAATTTGCATTTTTGCTTTTATAGGTTTATATTTATTTAGATTGTCTTTAACTTATAGTTGGAAATATTTGTTCTTTGCTACAGAACTGTGCTGCTTTACTGTGTGCTGCTCCACACAAGCAAACCACAATGGGAGCTGTGACTGCACATGCCCACGCAGTCCGCCCTGTGCACTCCCCAACAGAGCCATGGATCATAAAGCGTGGGGCCAGGAACACCGGCGTCCTTATTAAAGATGCAGAACTCCAACATGGGATTAATTTGAAGCAGACGAGCATGTTTGACTGGCCAATGGCCTGTCTTTCTGTATGGCCACAGCAGAACACTTGCATCTCTCAGCAGGCTGGCTTATATTCATTCAACATAAACAAGGTTGATTAAAAAGTAAATGAGTTCCAGCCTTTGCTAGCAACTGCTACATTTTACAGCCTATTAGCAGTCTTAAATTACACACTTTCTTTGTGGTTTGCAAATCAAAGAGGAAGCAGACGCACACATTTTGTGGCTAACATTTTAATAAATCTACCCTGTAAAGATATAATTTGATTGTTACACAAGAACTGGCTGAGTAGTCTTCCAGCTGGCAGACGCTGTACACCCCATTGCTCTAATGCCGTATATACAGCACAGATAAAGCACTGTACGAGTATTTGTGCATGTAAATGAGGAACACATTGTAAAGCACTCTGCAGAACCTCACTTACATTAAACAAGGTGCTTTATATCTGTGGACCATTTGCCATTACTGTTTGTAATTGCAATATGACTTTTATGACACAGACTTCCATAAAATCCTCTCACTTCACTAAAGAATATTACACAATAGTCATTTTTATGCATCGTACTGTAACTATACATTACCAAATCATAGTAATACAACTATCGCTTGATTTTGAGTTTTTAATTCTACATTGCAGAGAGTAGTGGTTGAAATTTCCCCTCGGTAAAATTGGACACCATCAGTTCTTGCAGATTTATTGCCATTTACTGTTTGTTGCCAGGATTTTTTTTTGGGTTAAGTATATCAGTTCAGGGTAAGTATGCTAGTTAGCAGCATGCCAGTTATAGTTTCATCTGTGTGAGACCTATAATTTGCTTTATTATAAATATTCAAAAAAAATTGTAATAGTCATATTGTGGTGTTTCTTAAGCTAGAAAGCCTAACCCCTTTCTCCTTCTGCTACATCCTAAGAAGAATCAGGGTTCCTCTTTGCTCTGCTAACGGTATAAGCAAGGGGTGAACTCGGATTGGATTATTTCGTATGAGCAGGGAATTTGGAATGTCCTCATTTCGAAATGGAAAAAATCAATTGGAATGCTGCTCAAAGTCTGAAATCAGACTTAAAAAATCAGAGACCCCTCACCAACTCAGACTTCTAACTCCAATATGTCTGTCTCGATCATGAATAACTGCTATATTAACTGTTTTCTCACTTCTGCTGGTTTGTATTTGAATAAATTAGTCAGACACACAAAGTATAGTAGTTAACGCATTTCTACAATGTTTGGATGCATAAAATACAAATAAATACATTGTTTTGGGATTTCATTGCTGATACTAGAGAGCCTGGGCACAACACATATCAATCCTACTGGTTCTCTGACATGAAATTAAGAACAGTTAAAGAAACAATTTGACCATTTTGAAGTATGTCACTGTGTAAACGCTATAAATAATCTATATTCTACCTGCAAATTATATTATATTCTACCTTGTCGTCTCCCCCTCCCTTTCAGAATGTCTACATCACCATTTTATAAGGTGGGCGGGGTGGATTATTATTTTTTTTTCAATTTCATGCCATGTTTCATTGGCCATTGAGAGATAGCATGTCAGGATTTTTTTTTTTTTTTGCCTCTAAATCCTGCATGTTGTTACTTTCACAACTTTTTTTTGTCTGTCTAAACAAGTCTCTCTTGTAAAAGAGTCTTCGAGGTTCAATGTGATTTATCTGTATAAAAAAAAGGTTTGAATGAAAAAAATAGCTTGTTGAATGGCTTCAGTTTGGACAAGCGGTCTGGAGTTTATGCCCAACAGGTCGAATCATTTACAATAATTGCTAATCTACACTCAGCTAAGACTAAAATTAATTGAATTAACATTAGAATGTAAAGTTATTTGCAAATGGCAGCAACAGCTAGTAGCACAACCAGTTTGTGTCATGAATTTTCTGTCAGAACGCCATGGTAATGCAAAACAGCCAATCTTGTAAAGCTTATAGCAAAGTATTTTATGTGAGCTAAAACAATTTTTTTATATCTATTCTTTATTAGAGCTGACTCTGAAATGCCAAGGTAAAATGAACACAGCAACATTTAAGTAATAATAGGGGTAAGACAGCTTCTGAGGGACTTTTTGTGGTAAGACTCATGCAGGATGCAATAACTGCAACTCAAATCTGTCCTTCCACATGCCCAGGTTTACTGGGTGGCTGTGGCTGAGTGGTTAGAGCAGTTGTCCTCCAATGCAAGAGTTGGGGGTTCAATTCCACCAGCAGTCACATGCTGAAGTGTCCCTGGGCAAGACACTGAACCCCTCAGTGCCTCCGATGTGTGTTCCATCGGTGCATGAATGTGATAAAGCACTGATTATTCTTTGTAGAGATCTAGTATAGAGCTGTATGAATGGGTAAATGAGGGCACAGATTGTAGTGTAAAGTGCCTTAAGTATCTTGATAAGATAGAAAGGTGCTATATAAGTGCATTCCATTCACCATTTACTCATGCATGAGTACCTGCAGGAGGGCTGGGCCACCATACTGGGGAACTGACAGTCTCCATGGACGCAATAGTTTTTGTAGTCGCCTGGACATGGAATGGACAAGCCACTGGCCATTCCGTTGCTGGAGTCTTCTATTTCCACACCTGTACAGACAAACACACAAAGTTTGTTAATGGACACCTGTGCACATTCATTACCGTGCAAGAAAAATGGAAGAGATTAACATTCAAATGGAAAAGAAATGAAGAAAGTAAAAGATAACACAAATCAGAGAGCACCTCTGATTTAGCTTGGACTACCAGTACAAGCTGGTTGTGAATCCCCAGCCATTAGAGGAGCACTCACCCGTGTGGTCGGTATGTGCCAAGTGTCCGTCGCCTTTGTTCCCAGTTTTGATGTCGCCTAGAAAAGGCCAAAGACACATTAAAGCACATCTCAGGTCACCGAAACCTCTCCTCACGCTCCAGCTTCATCCATTATAGGTTCCACATTCAAACTGATGCCACCGCAGGCAGAGAAGGGTGGATGTAAATTATCATTTCAACAAAGAGCTCACACCGCGTGCACCTGTGTGCCTAATGTGTATAAATGCAAACCATTCTCTTCAAAAGTCAGAAGCGGTCTACTCTAATGTATTATACTGAACAAAAGGAAAAATGGAGCAAAATCTGCAAGAAAGATCAGAGGGAATAATGCATTTCTTCTCACCTTATTGACGTTGCACTGAATTTTTCTCTTCTGAACGGCTAGACAAAATCTATTTCAAATTATTATAATATTACTGGAATTGGGCTTTTTTGGAGGTCAGAGAATTTATGCTCTGAATTTAAAGCTGTGGAAGCAGTTTTCAGATTTATGATGCAATGAAATGTGCCTGGTCCTGTAACTTTAACATTCTTTTTTTTACTGTTCTAGTTTTTATATACCTATTTCCACATCTGTAAAACAATGGAAGTGTAATCAAAGAAGATAAGCAATTTTTTTTATAAAGACACAAACTTATATTTTGAATGTATTACAACCATTTATAAATAAATAAAAAAAAAATCAATCAGATGCTACTCTAAACAAACAGAAGCTATAATATTGATATTTTTGCAAAAGTACAACAGATTTGTAACAGAATAAAAATGGAAACCAGCAATCTAAATGCCAGGATGTTCAGAGTGAAAGTTCAGGCTGATCTATAAGATACAAACAGTACATCATAGAGTAGAATGTGGTCATTTATTTATGGATTTTTTTTTAGTGTTTTAGACGTCAACCCTGATTGTTTTGTCTTGAAACGTTTCGTCTTTGCATCACTTGAAGGCATCTCCACTCTGAGGCTTTCAGGTCAATTCTTGCACAATTAAAGACTAACAACAACAGTTTGATAGTTTCCTAAAGTGCAACCATGTCACCTGTTTTCAGAAAATCTGACCAAAGCGGGAAAAATGAGGTCACAGGTGGAATATTTGCTTACAATTAGCATCGATCACAAAAAAAACTTTAAAGTGGTTTATTTGACTGATTTTTTTTAAATAAATCTTCACTGTACATCACATGTTGCAGTCCATGTATATTCCAGCAGAAAGATTATGATATTACTGCATAAAGTGGCCCAATTTGCATTCGCAGTACTAGTTAGCTGCAATTATTTGTACTTCAAATTAACCCCAGGACTCCATGCAAACAACAATATAATGGTGGGTGACAGTAGAAAGATTTTTAAAATAACCTTTGCATAAATGGCTAAGACTTTTTTAAAACAGGAGTTGTTTAAAGACAGGACCAATCCACCTTGGAATTGATCATGTTCAGACCACTGAGATATACAGTAGTCCCTCGTTTACTTCAGGAGATCCGTACCCTGAAGCCCCATGGAAAATACAACTCACTTTGACGTAGATCG